TCCAAGAGGTACACCTCATTGTCAAGCGGTTTCACCTGCAAGTGTCGTAAGAGGATGTGCGCAAGATCCTGACAGAACTGGTAAGGATACACCTGTGCCAGTTTGGTTCTGCTTCCAAAGGTACCAGCGTTTCCCTCTAGGGGTTGGTGTTCATGCTTGACTGAGCTGGCAAAATTTTACATCTTCTGAAGATCGGTCTCATAACCTCGGAAGGTAAACAGTGCATCAAACTCGTGGGCTTGAGACTTCTGAGCCCGGATTCAGGATCTTTTAGTCCGTATGGGTCTGAAAACAATTGTTGCATGCATTTCAGATACCATATCCTGGATGTCTGAGGATTTTCGATAATGAAGTATCTTCTGTGCTTCAACTGATAACGCGCAATGGATGCCACAAATTCAACCATGAAAAGGTAGCGTCTCCGCTTTTCCCCAACCTTTTGTTGGTCTTGCTGGATGTTCTGCATATTTGACCATGGTCCACAGACCGGCGCCATAAGGATGACATCAGGCGCTTGTTCCCTGATGATCTCCATGACCATGTGTCGTCCCTTGGATGTCATTACATCGAATCCTGTGCGGATGTCCACGGGGGTCCCAACCTTAAAACCTGATAGTGCACAGCATTGACTGAATCTGGCACTTCCTGCAAAGATCTCGAGAACGTGGATCTTTCCCTTACGTACACAATTCCAATGTGCTTGTTCAGGAATGGATGTGAGGTCCTCGACGAACATGTTCTCTGCTGGATGAGGTACTGCAGGTTTTGGAGTTGGCACTGAGGATCTTGGCTTAGGAGCTGGTGCGGATGATTCCTTTTTCTTGGTATCTACAGAGGAGCCTGGTTGCTCCTTCTGAAAGGATTCTCGCTCTTCAGGTAACATAAGGTCAATTCCGGGTTTCCCCGGAGGGATGGTCTCATCCTTCCTGAGCTTCGTCATGTTAACCTTGATGAGTCGAGTCCCAAGATCAAGTCCTACCATCGCTCCTTCAATGGAAATGACTCTTCCTTTTAGCCATATTCCTCCCTTGCTTCCATTGGAACGAATCTTGGATTTGTCTTCCTGCCAGTAGAATACCTTGTCCTTCACCTGAAAAGGCTTTGAACTCATTCGGAGATTTTGAGCAAGGTCTCGTCGGATGTCCTCGGATTGACGTGCTTCTTGGAAAGCTTGCTTTGACAGCTGCTTGATCTGGATGGCTGTCATCTCTTCTTCATTCCTGTCAATCGTCAACTGAGTTGGTGTTGCGACATCGAGTTGGATGAGATCTGCTGGTCGTCTTCCGAATGCGAGCTCTAATGGTGTTACTCCTCCGTAGGTGACGGTCTGATTCCTGACAGTTGCAGCGGCCTTCACTAGCTGCCTGTAGATCACTTTCTTCAGTGTTGCCTGTGCAGCGCCTGCTTTGATGGAACTTAGCATGATCTTGAGTTGTGCCTTCAGGAGTCGAACTGCTGCTTCAGCTCGATTTGGCCATGGTGTATTCGGTCCCAAGGATATCGGTGTGATGTCAAGGGACTGATAGAAATGTTCCCATGTATCTGTCATGAAGGCTTGATCTGCGACAACTGATTTGGGCTGCAAGTGGTACTGGTCAAAATAGTTCCTGAGGACAGTGATGTTCTCGACTTCTTGCGTAGTTGTCACTGCCTCTGCAGTGAGCAATGTTGTTGCTCCATCCAGGATGACAAAAACAATGATGTGTTCTCCTGTTCCAAGAGGAACTTGACAGTGATCAATGAATGTCATGTCACCAAAGGTGTCCGCTCGAAGTCCGCTTGTCTTGCTTCGTGATGGTGCATGTTTTGCCACTTGGCAAACTTCACACTCACTTCGGATCTTGTCAAATAGATCGAATGTTGATTTCGGCAAATGAAGTGCTCGGGTTCTAAATCGAAATTGATCTGTGGTCATGTGATGATGCTGCAGGTGGAGTTTCTTCAACTCTTCGGGATTTGACAATCGCTTGTGGATTCTGCCTAGGGCAAGCGGAAGCGATGTTGGTTCTTCTGAGGATGGTGCGAAAGGATCTGGCTCAATAGTCGACCGGCCCCTCTTGTCGATGATCCTGTCTGCTGCCGATCCTGAACCTGCTTCTTCGTCCTTAAGCGAATTGTCCGAGAAGGTGAAAATGGTCTTACCTATCCACAGGTTAATCATTGGTTTATTTGCCTGGGATGTAAGTCTCCAATTGTCTTCCAAAATGTCTGGATCCCCACCTGCGGATGCATCAATGATTTCCGTGGTACGTTCTCGGCTAATGTGATCAGGATTGATTGGACATTCCTTGGCTCCATTTGGTGTGAACAGCGCCTTTCGGGGCGTGATGTGCACACGGATGAGCTGCTTGTTCTTCTTGTCAAGGATCCAATGGTCCTGCTTTTGAGACCCAATGATCTTAGGAGTTGCTAGGTCCTCCTTTGTCTCGGATGATTTTGCTGCACAAACAGTTTCGCTCTTGGTGAGATCCCCGGAGGGAAATTATGACATAGTTGGTGAGGCCCTTGTGAGCAATTTCTCCATGTGCCTTCACTCTTGCAACTCCAGCGAGATCGACGAGTGCATGTCCTGTACCGGATACTGGAACTGCTTGACGGTTCATGCCAAAGGCCTTGCATGTGATCTTGTCACATTGAGGTGTGTGCTCGATGGTCATGTAGAGGTTCCGCATCTGGCTGATGCTGAGAAGGATCGGTACAGTTCCTTGTTCAAGGACGTCGATGTTGGTACTGCACGGAGGAGTTGTGTGATATCGAAGATGCAGGGTCCAATTTACCCTGGCGGTCTCTCCGTTTGCAAAAGTGAACTTGGTCTCGGCCGGGATGTACTCATAGGAGATGATGTCCTTCATTGGTTCGATTGCCTGGGTAAAACGCTGGATTGCATGCCAGCTGCCCATAGATCTGGTACATCCATTGTCCAGAATCGCATAGGTCGGGTTGTGCTGAGGGTTGAAGACAGGCGCCATCAGCTTTGTTGCCAGAAGGCTGTGATTTGTTGTTACGGACAGATTGTGTTCTGAAACTGTATCTGATTGGATCAGCTTCTCGCGGATGGCCTTTTTCCCAGGATGCTCATATGCATCATGGAATGCCATTAACGCTTGTCCTGTGCTGGATGTCTCATGGGATGAGTACCAGCCTTGTTCATTCCATGTCCGTGCTTGATCCCAATCTTGGTCTGTCCAACCGGCATAGGTAGGCTCTATGGATGGTGCAGTCTGCTGGATGGCGGGCTGCTCCTCCGTCTTTTCGGCGGTGGCTGCGAACGTCTTGGATTTTCCTTTCTCCTGTCCGCTCTTTCCTTTACCACTCTCATAGGATGGATAACCTTTCTTTCCATCATAGGGATATTGGAATTTTGATTTTCCTTTCTTTCCCTTCTTTCCTTTGCCTTTTCCCCAGTATGCCTGGTCGTAGGGATCATAGTTTTCGTTGGCCATATTGGCCTTTCCGCCAGAACCGCTTTTTCTGAAGGGTTTGAAGCCACCTCGTTGGTGACTGCCCTTTTTGTTTCCTGATTTTCCTTTTCTCTTCTTGAACTTGAAGTTCCGCCCCGACACTTTTCTTGCTATGAACGCATCGTTCTCCTCGAGGACCCAGAACATCTCTTCATCGTTGTTTGACATGAATCCTTCACGTCCTTCTTCATCCTCAACCCAGAAGCCTTCTTCTCCTTCGTATTCACCTTGTTCGATGATGAAGAATGTGTTCTTGGATCGATGTCCTCGTGGTGATGAAGAGTTCATGGTAATGCGTCTTCAGCATCTCATAGGAATAGTTCTCAAGTGAGATGTTTCTTAATGACATTGCACTTGTCAGTCTTTCTCGTTGCTGATCTGACAACTCACTTTGAATAATGAAAAACTGTGCAATGAGATTATCCCCGAAGGGAAATGCGTCCCGCTGTCTGTCCTGCATTCCTTCCATATACTGTCCGGGGACTGTCGGATCGTCCTCATTGAGCAGGGCTGGAGGCGGTGCTCGAACACCGGCTGCTTGCTGATGTCGAGCAATTGTTCTTGCATTTGCGTCCTGTACGGACTGTCGAAATGACGGGGACTGTGCCGTAAAGATTGGCATCAAGTCCATCCATGCTGCCTTCAGTCTCACAAGTAGGATTTCGAATTTTGAGGTAAAAATGAGGAACTCTTGGTTCTGCCTCCGATGATTGAAGAAACTGAGGAGTCTGTACAGATACACGTTGGTAGCACCTTTCAATAAGTACTTCTTCAGCGTGTTCTTGAAATAGTTGACTCCTTCATCAGGATCTTGCAAAAGATCATTCTGGAGGACGGCCTTGTACATGTAAGCATCTCCAGTGAGTCTGCTCTTAAGCAATGAACCTCGCTGGATGCTTCTACTGTGGTGATGGTCACCCAGTCGTCCACGAGTTCCTCGTACCTGAACCAGCTGACTTTTCCGTCGTACGATGGCGGCTGCTTGGCGGTCATCGATCAATTTAGTGTCTGTATAGCTCGGCTTGGCCATACTTGTGTAGGCTTCCATGAAGCCTTCTTTATGTGATGACATCTTCCCTCGGATCTCTGCGGAAAACCTGCTCCGCTACCACGAATTGAGGCCCACTGCCCCAGGCGCCTCTCCCTGGAGGGAACTGGAACTGTGTGGTAGTTGAGGTCGTTGTTGGTCCCTGGATCTATTCCGGAGAGAGTCCAATATGCCAGTAATGGATGATTGGAGGATGGATTGTCCCTGGTGGATTGTCTTGTGGATAATCCTGTAAGCGGCCTGCAATGGCTCTTTTGTATTCACGCTCGGATGGTCGTGATTCTGCAAAAGGGAAATGTTGCGGGATCAATGGTCTGAAAAACAGAACACACCCCACCCCCCCACCCAACCCACCCAACCCACCCAACCCACCCAACCCACCCAACACCCAACACCCAACCCACCCAACCCAGCCCCACTTTCTCCCACCACCCACCCCATGCACCCAACCCAACCCACCCACCCACCCAACCCACCCGGGGCGCCCCGGCTCCAGCAGGTCCCGGACCTCCGGCTTCCTGGAGTCCTGCGAGGCAACGGAACTCCCCGCACTCCACCGAACTGCCCGGCGCTTCGAAGCGCCGCGTTGGTTCTGGGCGGGCACTCTCTTTGCGGATTGATTCACCATATGTGGGATATTATGTGGTATGGTTCATGAATATATGTGGTATGTTGTGTGGTATTATGTGGTATATTGTGTGTTATGAGTATCAGCGGAGTCTTCATATTATTCACATCACTATCAAACTTGTTAAGTGTGCATGACTAAAACTAATGGTATCGACATCACTAACACCAACCTCAGAGACTTGTTGGGTGTTCCCAGCGCTCGTTACCTCCCGCTTTGCGGAAGATCCGTCAGCTCCCCAAGTGGTTTGGGCTCAAGGCTTGAAGGAGGTGGTGTCCCATCTACAAGAACCAGAGTTCAAATCCAAATCCCAAATCCAAACCACCGAGAGGTAATCTGGAAAATCGGTGTTTGTGTGTTTGACGGAACCCCATTAAACATCCTTCAAAAAGCAAAATCAAACACAAAGCCATGACAGACAGCAGAATTCGGTGGGGATTCATGCCCAACCACCTTGGAGGTGGTGCCACTCTTGAAATAATTGGCCACAAAGGCCAAACAGGGACCCTTACATTATACACCTGAATATTGCCTTGCAAATGGTGGTTTCCCTTTATTTGAGTGGAAAAAGCCATGTGGAGATCTTTTAAGGAGCCCTGCCAAAGGCACATGGGAAAGTGATGAACCTCCGAAACGGGCAACGCCAGCTTCGCCGAACGAAGAATGGACCGGAAACGACATCTGGAAGTTCTTTGCCAGAGACCAGAATCCTCCATCCACAAATGCTAGACGTCCAACACCTGAAATGAGTCGCAATCAACACCTGGTTTTCTAGAATGGTCGTAATCCTACCATCAAGATGAAGGCGGAGATCCGCAGCGCTTTTTGTATGGCAGGGGGATTGTCCCTAACCTTCATCTACCAAAGGGTTTTGAGCACGTGGCTCAGGTGATTTTTGAGGGGTTTCTCAGCAGATAAACAAACTGCATCACAAGGTGATGCTTCATCCAAGGAAGTTGAGAAGGAAACTTCCGAGTTACGGAAACTAATTGAAAGCTAGATGGTGCAGGGAAGGAAGAAGAAAGAATGAAAGGCGCGCGAGAGAAAACATGCGTGTAATAGAATTTGCGAAAAGGAGCAACCCTCTGCGGGCTTGGTGGTGTGGAGCTGGCTGAAAGCTACCTCAGTCGCGGCGTCTGACGGACGACGGGTGCGGGACGGGATCGGGACGGGCTCGGGACGGGCTCGGGACGGTCTCGGGACGGGGGCGGCGCCGGGACCATTGGCACGGCAACGCAGAGGTTTCGCAAGGTTTGAATTGCATGGCAGGCGCAGCGTTTTGGTGAGGTCGGGCGCAGATTTCGTGGCAGGCGCAGCACTTTCGCAAGGTCAACTTTTCTCAAGGTTTGAATTGCGTGGCAGGCGGGTTTGAATTGCGTGGCAGGCGCAACACTTTCGAAAGCTCAGGCGCAGATTTCGTGGCAGGCGCAGCACTTTCGCAACGTCAGGTACATATTTCGTGGCAGGTGCTGCACTTTCGCAAGGTCAAGTAAAGATTTCGTGGCAGGCGCAGCACTTTCGCAAGGTCAAGCACAGATTTCGTGGCAGGCGCAGCACTTTCACAAGGTCATGTACATATTTCGTGGCAGGCGCAGCACTTTCGCAAGGTCAAGTGCAAAATTCGTGGCAGGCGCGGCACTTTCGCAAGGTCAAGTACAGAATTCGTGGCAGGCGCATCACGTTCGCAAGGTCAAGTACAGATTTCGTGGCAGGCGCAGCACTTTCGCAAGGTCAAGTACAGATTTCGTGGCAGGCGCAGCACTTTTGCAGGTCAACTTTCGCAGCTGGGGCTCGAAAATCGCAACTTTTAAGTGCGAAAGTAGTACGCGAAGTCAACTTTCGCAGCTGGGGCTTGAAAATCGCAACTTTGAAGTACGAAAGTAGTGCGTGAAGTCCACTTTCGCAGCTGGGGCTCGAAAAATCGCAACTTTTAAGTACGAAAGTAATGCGCGAAGTCCACTTTCGCAGCTGGGGCTTGAAAATCGCAACTTTTAAGTACGAAAGTAGTACGCGAAGTCCACTTTCGCAGCTGGGGCTCGAAAATCGCAACTTTTAAGTACGAAAGTAGTACGTGAAGTCCACTTTCGCAGCTGGGGCTTGAAAATCGCAACTTTTAAGTACGAAAGTAGTACGTGCAAAAATCGCAACTTTTAAGTACGAAAGTAGTACAAGTCCACTTTCGCAGCTGGGGCTCGAAAATCGCAACTTTTAAGTACGAAAGTAGTACGTGAAGTCCACTTTCGCAGCTGGGGCTTGAAAATCGCAACTTTTAAGTACGAAAGTAGTGCGCGAAGTCAAGACAGAAAGAGACAGAGAAAGAGATAGATAGATAGATAGATAGATAGATAGATAGATAGATAGATAGATAGATAGATAGATAGATAGATATATAGATAGAGAGAGAGAGAGAAAGAAAGAGAGAGAGAGCAAGATAGATAGATAAATAGACAGAGAGAGAGAGAGACATAAAGAGATAGAGAGATAGATAGATAGATAGAGAGAGAGATAGATAGATAGAGAGAGAGATAGAGAGAGAGAGAGATAGAGAGATATACAAATAGAAGGAAAAAGAGATAGATACATAAATAGATAGTTGGAGATATAAATAAATAGATAGATAAACGATAAACAGACAGAAAGATAGATAGACCGATAGATAGATAGATAGATAGAGAGATAGATAAATAGATAGAAACAGAGATAGAGAGAGATACATAGATAGGTAGATAGATAGAGAAATAAATAGATAGATAGATAGATAGAAAGATAAATAGATAGAGAGGTAGATAGATAGATAGACAGGTAGAGAGAATGAAATAGAGGTAGATAGAGAGATGGATAGATAGGTAGATCTATAGATAATTAGAAATACAGATAGATAGATAGAGAGATAGAGAGATGGATAAATACACGTGAGATAATGAGATAGAGAGATAGATAGATAGATAGACAGATAGACAGATAGAGAGAGAGATAGATAGATAGGTAGACAGAGGGATACATAGAGAGATATAGAGATAGATAGATAGAGAGATAGACAGATAGAGAGACAGATAGATAGATAGATAGACAGATAAACAGGTAGAGAGAATGAGATAGAGGTAGATAGAGAGATAGATAGATAGATAGATAGATAGATAGATAGATAGATAGATAGATAGATAGATAGATAGATAGATAGATAGATAGATAGATAGATACGCGGGAGATAGATGGAGAGATAGATGGATAGATAGATAGATAGATAGATAGATAGATAGATAGATAGATAGATAGAAAGAGATAGAGAAAGAGATAGAGAGATAAATAGCTAGAAAGACAGAGAGATAGAGAGATAAATAGATAGAAAGAAAGAGAGATAGAGAGATAGAAAGATAGAAAGAAAGAGAGATAGAGAGATAGATAGATAGACAGATAGAGAAAGAGAGAGACAGAGATAGAGGGATATAGAGAGATGGATAGATAGAGAGATAGAGAGATAGGTAGATATATAGATAGAGAGATAGAGAAATAGATAGAGAAGATAGATAGAGAGATAGATAGATAGATAGATAGATAGATAGATAGATAGATAGATAGATAGATAGATAAGCAGATAGATAGATAACACGAGAGATAGATAGATAGGTAGTTAGGTATAGATAGGTAGAGAAAAATAGATAGACAAGCAAACGAAAGAAAGAAAGAAAAGACAGATAGAAAGAAGGAAAGAAGGGAGGAAGGAAGGAAAGAAACGAAGAAAGGAAGAATGACGGAGAAAAAGAGTCAATAAAAGAAAGAGAAAGAGAACTATAGTTTTTATATTTTTGAAACTTCCGCCCACCGGCTTCGCCGGCTCTACTGGTACCACCGGGAGCCCTGGCTTTTGGTCTCTGTACCCAAAAGGGCAGCTCAAATAAGAACCCCGGGTTTTGACTCAAATAAAAATGATAGGGATCCTTGCATTCTACACCTGAACATTGCCATGTAAATGGTGGTTTCCCTATATTTGGCTGAAAAAAGCCACATGTTTCCAATGGTTGCAAAATGTATCGATCTTTTAAGGAGCCCTGAAATAAGAGAACGCTCGTTTTTCCCCGTTTTACCCAGGCGGAGCCTGGAGGAAGTACATCAGCTTCCCGTAGGAGTCGCGCATGCGCTCCGGGTTTAAGATCTTGTATCGGCGCCCTCAGCCCATTGGACTCCTTAACGTGTCCTAAGAGGTCACCCGTGGTGGGCGGGTAAAAAGGGTCCAGGTGGGCGGGTAAAAAGGACCCTTTAGGAGACTTCATCCAGGTAATGTGCTTCCCGTGTCCTGAAGGGTCACCCGTGGTGGGCGCTAGAAACAACAAGGCTTTAGGAGAATTCAAGGTAGGCCAATGTGACCAATTCGTTGGGGATTGCAAAGGGGGCCAAAAGGTCGAAAGGTGGTCTTTGAACAACTGAGTAAAAGGTCACCCGCTTAGTTGGCGTTCGAAAGAAAAGTCTTTAGGAGAATTCATCAAGGTAAGCCAATGTGGCCAATTCGTCCAGGGTTCCGAATGGGTTCCTTTCAGATGCTAGACACATGAGAACGTCCTTGGGTGCCAGCGATCGGAACACGTTTGGAAGCCCCTGAGGCATGGCTTGCTGCTTGGATGGTCCTTGACTGATGAAACTGAACTCTCCCGCAAGCGATCCCCAAACCCATGTCCAAAACCCCCGGTTGATTCGGTTGATTTCCCCAAGCGATATCGAGGTTCACATAGTACAATCCCTGTTAAGCCAGGTAGTAGAACCACCTATGGCTAGGGTCGTGGGGGCTCGTCGCCAAGAACCAGCCAGACTTGGGGGAAGGGAAACAAGCGCGAGGCTCGTACCATCTCCTTAGGGGAACCTTGGGGCAAAGTGCAAAACCCTGACCTAGTATATAAACCTAGATGGGACCAACTGATTGACTAATCTAGGAGTTAATTGTTTAAAGACCAACATGATGACAAAAGCTAAGTATATATTTCTTTGTTCACCATCTTAGGCAAGGGCAAAAAGATGTAAAATGGTCCCAAGCGTTGACCAAACGCAGTAATCAAGGAGTCAAGTTGGCAACACCGAGAATGAACAACAACCTGCACTTTCATTGACGCATGGAAAGCTGGCAAAGGCCCCAGCACTACCAAATCTGTTTGGGTGGGACCTCATTTTGGGGAGGCCTGGAACCCTAGGTCCAACGTCCGAACCCGTTTTAGACACCTGGCTCCCACTTCTTCTCTTTTCGTTGGAATCGCTCACTGGGGGCAGCTGCCAATCTCCAGCACCGTCTGGAAGAAGGGACCCCTGGCGAGGGGAGCGCGCGAGCGCGCCGCGCCGAAACAACCCGTCGACCTTTTCTACTCAAAGGGGCGTTGTACTTAGTAAGTGGTTAGTAAGCCTGGTTAAAAACCCACTTACCATGGTTATAAGTGAGTTATAACCAGGCTTACTAACCACTTACTAAGTACAACGCCCCTTTAAGTAGGGTGGAGGTTGCTGGGGGTCGCTTTGGGATTTTTGGGTGTGGCCCGTGTTCTTTTTTTGGGGGAGGGCGGGTGTTTTTTCTTCCCGTCCCACCGGTGCAAGGCAACGTCCTTCTCAGAGACAGCGAAAGAAAGGAGATTACTGAGGGTATAGGCCAAAAGCCTTACCATCCTTGTTTCAGATCTATCCGAAAAAACATACATGCGAGAAAAGGCGGGCGAATCAACCTGTAGAATGTTTAGATTCTGCTTCATTCTTTGTTTACCTAACAAAGAGAGTAATTTTGGAGGAGACCCCGGAAATTGTCTACTTCCAAAACAATTTCCTGATTTGGTGGTTCAGAAACTTTAATAGTAACTGCTAGGGGAACCCTCTGAGAAAACCAACTCATTTTGCCACCTGAGGTAAGGTTTGCCTTCAAATAGATCAGCGATTTGCGGAAAAAAAATAGTTTGAATCCAAAAAGGGCCAGATTTGGAGGTTGCGTGAAGGCAAACCCTAAAGGACGGTCAGCATTTTGGAGAGCTCTCTGGGTGTTTGAATCAAAAAATCACCCCACTACAAAAAAGGGAAACACTTCTCAGCTGACATGAGGATTTAAAATTGATTCTGGACCACCCAGCGATTTTTTTGAGCAACACCTGGTTTAGGTCGGTCTTTGAGAGGGTGGTGGTCATGTGGCTGACACAATGGTGACCTTTGGGCACCAAAACGGACGAATCCGAGGCCTGACAACCTCATAGTCTCGAATGTCTATTTTGAGACAAGCCCATATCAAATGTTGTTGCTGAAGAAATACACTGATATTACAAATACGAACGCATTTCACGCAGCTACTCCACGACATTCGTGTGATCTTTCGTATGTTCATGGTGTGTGCCTCAATGAAGCAAAGTGGAAAGGACGCACGCTGCGCCCCTCTGCTCGCTCAAAAGGCGAGCAAACAACGACTCCAGGCTCCCTGGCTTTCCGTTTCGAAAGCCAAAGTCTTGGTTCAGCTTCGTGGGCGCGGCACAGATTTAGCGGCCGGCCTTCGAGCCCCGGAAACTCGCTGGCTTGCAGCCTCCAGGTGCTTAAGCTGTCAGCTGCCCCACTTCCTGTGGGCAATTTGGTGTGTTCAACGTCATCTCTCCCGCAAATAAACAGTAAGTACTAAGAAATTGCCAGTTTCAAGTGGATCCAACCCTTTTCTACGTGGAGAAATATGGTGCTTCTCACAAAATCATGGACCTCTAGTGGTGTTCCTTTTGGCTTCTGACCACAAGCCAGCCAAACAGGGGACCCATCTTGACACACACACACCATTTTTTTAGGAGGCCCCCCATTTTCAGTTCTCACACACAGGCCCCGGTCATTGGAAGCCGGCCTCGTGCTGAACTCCCGACTCTGGAGGAGTTGCTGGCCCTGCTCGTAGTTGTGGGACACCTATCAGCATCCCATCGGCGCCCCGTTGGTTCCAGGTCCACTTTGGGAAAACCAAGCGCGGGGGTCAAACTGAAACCACCAGGCTCCCGTTTTGAGCTTTGCTTTAGACCCGACCCTTTGCGGCTTAGAACTCGGCCCCTCGTTGGCGGCTTGCAGACGAGGGGGGGGGGGTTGCCCTTCCGCCCGTCAAAGTGATACTCTCAAAATGACCTTCGAACCGAAGAAGAAATCCATGGGCCCCAGAAATTCTAGGAACGAGTTGCCGGAGTTACCCAACACGTGTTGGTTATTTTGACAAAACTTGCCATTGAAGGATTGTACCCAAAGCCGTGTTTGTTTTTGAACAACAAAGCGGATATCTGCACTTATGTCCAGTCTCTTAAAGTACCCCAGAACCTCACTCTATTATTGAGGCCCTTACATACCTCAAAGGAACACACTCCAGCTATAAGCCATGTGGGTTTGTCTCAAAATAAGGGAACCTTCTGGTTTCCTTTCGGCTTCCCTTTCAACCAACGCAGGGGAACCCTGCAAAAAGACGAGCCATCCATATCTTGGGTGCTGTAGATCCCCCAGCAAAAAGTGATACTTTTGCTGGCTAAAAGGAAATATAGGGGGAATCCAAAAAGTTAAAGTCTAAAGATCCAACCCAATAGCAGCAGAGGTATCTCTTCCGGATTCTGGGGTGCCCTTCTGACCTGAAGCAGCGAGTTTTCGGCGCCCTCAGACCCAATCCCCCCTGCCTGCATGCCTGTGAGCACAGCACAGAGCTGCTTCATCTGCAACCTCGATCGATGCGTGGGGAGTTTCCAGGCCAAGTACCGGGCATGGACAAACTGGTGCAAGTACACCAACCATATTCAACCACAAGCCCATGGAAGTGTGCGCTACAATTGAGGAAAACTTGAAACTTAGAGCGGCCAACTGGAAATACTGTGGAAGGACCGAATCCATTTCGCACCAATTAGAATAGATGAAAATCCTATAAATACTGGTTGATAAAGGGGAGCCTAGTCCAGTGCTCTTTGTCCTCTGCCTCCATTTGCGAATACGTCCCCTGGAAAAAAAATCTACATATCTCCAGTACAAATGTCCGCTAAAACGAATAGGGGACATACAGTAATACATCTTAAGCAAATGGATGCTTACCTTGTACTTTCTCAGAAACCCTCTCACCTTCTTAAATAGAGCGCCAAACAAAATCTGAATTAGCCATGCACATGATTCTCTTATGATCATGATTTGGCTTCAAAGTTGCCTGCAACCGCCTTATTGGAGTGATTTCGCTTTTTTTGAGGGGGCAAAGGGGGCACAGGGGCCGAAATCTTCTTTGGCTCACATTTGCAAACCCACCCAGGGCAGAGCTTCCTTGAGGGGAAAAGGAAACCACTTTTCTCTCCTTCTTCTGATTTTCTGGTTTTTTATTGTTCTTTTAACCCTGACACGTCCAAACAAGATTGGGGCACATCTGTTTCCCTTTCAAATCAAGCCACCCCAAAGGAGCGCGCGAAACGCTTGGACTGTTCTGCCATGGCCAGAAAGCTTTTCCTACGATTTTCTTCCGGCGCAGCTCTTTTCCCCGCGAGCCGTTCGCCCTGGACGGTCCGCCACCTGTGGCCGCAGATTCGGGCAGATGAGGCGGCGGAGACGCCGACGATTCGTCCTGCGGAATGGAGCGGTCGAAGTCGTCCGAGGGGCCCGACATACGGCGGCTTTCCATCTGGCGTCAAACAAAAAGGAAGACCACAAGAGTACCACAAGCCCGTGCTCAGGTATTCACATTGAAGGTATGGATGCTGTAAAATACCAGTATGCCAGATCTTGTGAGGCAGAAGAACCAGAAAACAGCCTCTTGAGTCTTTGTCACCTGCAACAGCCATACCTAAACATACCATTCCTTTCGTGCCTCCTTTGGTTCGAAAGGTGGGAATCGTCGCCACGTGGGGTGACCTCCATATTTCCTCGTTCTATTTGCCCAACCGGCATGGCAACCAAAAGGCTATCTTTGAATCAAAACAGAAACATAGGGACAGTTGGGTGGGCAAAATGTGTTCAACCAACCCGAGTTGTACTCCCCGTTTCCAAAACGGGGCTGTTGAAATGGTGGTTGAAACACGACTAAAGGGTTGGCCCAAACTCGGGCAAACCAGTCGCCAGGATGCCCAAATCAAACAGAAATACTGGGGTGTGGGTCCAGCTTGCGTCGCCAGCATCAGCAGCATCACTAACATCATCAATACCACCAACTATCCCGCATCACCAACATTATTAGCATCACCATCACACACATGTCCAGCATCACAAGCATTACCAGCATCACTATCACATGAATCTTCAAAGTGCCACGATTTCCCAAACAAAAGAACATCCAGCAAAGGCCCTTCAAGCTCAGTGTAGGTTTTGGGAGCCCCAAGCTTTCTCTGACATCCCCCAAAAAGATGAAGAACGTCCACCCATTCGCAGGAAGATCCGGTAGTGCAAGAACCCTTGTAGTTTCCCCTTCATGATCTGATGAGGCATTGCAACTTGTAAATGGTGGTGTCCAACTTTATTTTGGTGTTGAAAAAGCCACATGTGTCCAATGGTTGCAAAATGTATCGATCTTTTCAGGAGCTATTAATGTCATCAATTCAAGGGGAAACTCGCCTAACATCAGGTAGGGTGCTTTCTTTTCGCGCCTGTTTCGGTGTTCTGTGGTCAGGGTTTGGGGTGTTTTTTTGTTCAGCAACCAGGTGATTTTTGTTCCCCAGCCATTCCAGGAGGTGGAGTTGGAGCGTCTAAGCTGAGTTGACTGGCCAAAAAGAGCTTGAACTTCTTGGACCTTCACTAAAAAGAAACTAGGTCCTCCAGTAGAGAGGTTAGAATAAAAGTACCCGATTTTTTTCTGTAGTCCATTTTAGTAGGGGAAGCCTCCCGAAAAAAGAAACGGTACAAGGGCACTGGGGGACCTAGGGAGATTCGAAGTTTGGAAAAACTCAGCGGGCGCAAGCTGCTCTTGGCATCCCCAGCTCGACCTGCGGACCTTCGGGAACCTTCGGGAAGCGGATCTCACAGCTCCAGCACCGCAGCCACGCCGCCGTGGAAGAACTTGCCCACCCGGTTCCGCCTTCGAACGCTTTTCTGGCGGGAGGTTCTGCGCCTTGAGCCCACCAAAAACACACAAAATACATCTGCCCTTGGTATAGTAGTATAGAATAGATGGGCTTGGGTACCGTTTAGGGGTTCAACCAAGAAATGATATACTCAAATGTGTCCGGGGGGAGCCCTGCGACATCATTCGGGGATTTGCGCCCAGCAACCCACGTTTGAGGCAACCCCAGTTTGGTCACCCCACGTCATAAGCGATGATTGAGCATGCGCTTCTCACCTTCCCGCAAAAAGTGCCCAAATAGCTTGAAGGTGCGATCAAAAACTTGTTTCCAGCTGCTGGGGAAAACAACAAAGAAGCAACTGGCGATCCAGGCTCCTTGGGGCTCCAACACCTAGTGAGTTCCGAACTCCATTCCAACCCATTGGTCAAGGGCCCCAGAGGCAGGTTAAAGGGAATCAACCAACCAGTGCCTGACCCCCCAAAAGAACAATCACGTCCTTTTCGAAGGTTCCAGAAGTGAATCTGAGAAGGCCCTCCATAGATGGTGCTCTTCTTTTTCGGAGTTGGCACCCTTTTCAGCTGGGTTTCCGCCATGTTGAGGGCCCCCCTCCCTATTTTGACACATACAGGCGCAAAAGCAAACAGTTGTTGCAAGTCGCCTGAGAGGATTCATGCTCGAGGATCAGAACCTGCTCAACAATCCTTGCCATACAACCAACTAGAGCACACTAAAGTTGACACGGCAAACACACAACCAGCATCCCTCCTATTGCTTGTTTGTGCCTTAGAGTTTAGGGCGTAATTTCGCATTGACCCGCTGCAAGAACCAGGGGTTCAAATCCCCAAAACACAAGTCCAAACCACCAACCAAGAGTTACCGGACATAAGACTTGGCTCGGCAATCCACTCATGCCAGCATGATTAAGAAAGGCATCGCCTTTGGACCCCGTTTTTGGGCAAAGAGGTATGTATCCAAATTGGGGGAGCCCAAAAAGGGTACGGAGCCTCAAAAAGAACAGCTTTACTCCAGGAAATCGTTGTCCCTCGTTACATCCTGAGTTCCGATTGAGTGTCTTTGTCTGAGGCTCGGGATTTTCAGGGCTGGTTCAAATGGAAACCAAAGGGAAACCAACCATTTTGGGTGCTCCAAAATTTTGAGACAAACCCGAGTGTTGTGGGGGTGGGTTTTGAACAAGACACAAGAAATCATGAAGGATGTGACACAACTCTCAGGGCCGAAACGGCGGCCCCCAGAGACAAAGCCACTCACCCGAGTCAAACCTCACCCGAGTCAAACAACCTGGCAGAGAGGTTGATTCCCCAAATTTTGTCAAGAACCAAAGCGGATACACCCACCAATTCACATGGAACCTGAAGTTAACTGAAGTTAAAGGGGGGCTGCTGGTTTGGTCCATCTTCCTTTTAAAGGGACTCCCGTTGGTCAGGTTCCAGGTGTCTATGTGTCAAAACCCCGTACCCCCAGTGAACATCCCAATCCAACCACTAAAATAGGTTCTAAAACGGGTGGTGAATTCACCAATCCCACCCAAAACGGGATCCCAAAACGGTGTTGACCCAAACCCATGTCGAAAAGCTGGAGCTGGGAGGGTATCCTCCCCACTGAGGAAGTGGCTCGCTCACTCCCACAGGCCCAAGGCGCTGTACCAAGGGATGGAAGAAGTTCCGGTCGCGCGCGAAGATGGTGAAGTAGAGGAGGGAGAAGAGGACCTCCAGCTGAAACCAGCTGATAAGCCGTGACGGGGGTCCATGAAAAAAATGACTTTCTGAAAAAGGTCACCCCCATCCGTAAAAGAACATGTGCTAGGCGATGTTTGGGGTTTCACCAAAACAGAGAGAAAAGTACGGGAACCTCTGCACGTTTGAAACACAAGCGACAGATGCGATGCGAAGAATTTCTGCTAATAGATCCAATCTCTGCTAATAGATCCAATCAGAAAGAAGAAATAAACAGCTGAGACGATTCGGGCGAACGCCGTAGCAGACCATATCCTTCAAAATGATCGTGGTTGTTTCAATGTCAGCCTTATCGACCCCATTCCACTTGGGCATGTTTTCTAATTGCGGACCCTTTTGTGGACATCTGTTGGTTCTTCGCGCTCTTGATTGAAAGTCATGGCCACTTCTCGGCCAGGGCTTTGCAAATGGCGCAAACTGGATCAAGCATCGCAGTGAAAACCCCAGGGCGGTTTTGACCATAAGCCTCCAAGCAGGGCGGCACAAAAAAAAAACGAAGTTCATGGACAGCGGGCCGGTGATCAATGGCAGGGTAAGAATCGGGTGGCTGGTCTTTCTTTGCGTTGCTACCCCGCTTTGTTCTGGCTTTAAAGGGAGACCACAAAGAAAACCTGCCCCCCATGTTGAAGGTCGCAAAAAAACACACGCCCATTGGGAATCATGAAGCACTCAAGCTCCAAGAAGTTGACGCAAGAAATGAAAGGCGAACACGCTCGTCAAGTGGCTTTTTGGTTAGGGGGATGCCCAAGTAGGTAGTTCTCCAAGTGTTTGAAAGGTGCAATGGCTTTTGTTTCCAAAACTCCTCGGGTTCCATGTTGTCCCAAGAGGCGACGGGATGAATTCGCTTTACCAGGGCTTCCCGAGTGCCGGACTCCCGTGGTGATCACCCAAATGAGACAGAAGAGCGCAAACCCGTCGAGACCTGGCTCAAAGCCGGCGATGTCTGTGAAAAAAGCCATGAGCAGTCATCCGATGGAATTTGACATCCCCCACGAAAAGGCCCATGCGTTTTTTTGGGGACCAAGAGGTGGGTCCGGAGAAAGGGTTCAAACGCGGCTCACTTGCGAAGGGCCTTCTGATCGCAATCGGAGCTTGCGAGGTCTTGGGTCAGGCATCAGAGCTCTAAAGCAGAGCCAATCAGCATCAAATGCGGTGATACAATGCACTTGGGTTTGGCTCTCAATAAGGGGGCCCCCTAAAAATTCCTCTTGGTGTCCCTTCAAAACGAACCAAAAAGTACCCTCATGCTGTCTAACTGGATGCCAACATTTTATCCTGACTGGAGCAAAGTGATACACGCAAGTCCGAAAACGAGTGCAAGCAGTGTACAGGTAAACACGCGGCCGCAATCACCAACAAAACCATCGTCAGTGCATCAACTCCAACTCACCTGGCCACCTCAACAGGTGCCATGCACCACAAACAGGGACGCTGCTTGCAGCATCAAAAGCAAACAAGCCCACCAACACATCATCTTCATCCCAGGCTATCCTGCATCCCACCCCCAATCCGTTGTCCCCACAATTTTTGATACATGCTCAAATGAGTGATTAGAACAGAACGGGACCAACTTGAACCCCCAACTGAAGCAATCTCATACTCCCCTAGAAAATTAACCTGGAGCCCCGAAAAAGCCCATTTGTAGAGGAGACTCCAGAAAACCCTCTTGGGTCTCTGTTCATTTGCAGAGCCTAATGACCAAACTGTTCAAGCGGAATCCGTCATATCTCCAAGGACAGCTCAGATGTAGAACCTAAACCGGAAAATATGCGTCCGGTTGCTTAAGTCCACTGGAAAATAAGAATAAAAAATATGTCCAGTAGTGCTAGGTGTCCTTTAAAACCACCAGGCGAAGATAACAATCGTGGGAGCCCCGTTTGGTTGCTTTTCAACTGGGAACCCAAAGGAAGCCCGCCTTTTGGAGGTCGCCCAATCTCGAGACAATCCCCATATCATGGCGTCCTCCATCACAAGGTCAGCTTGGGCGGAAAATCGTCCCCCCAGTGCAAGTGAAAGCTGAAAGAAGGCTCGCCTCCTTCACTGGCTCGGGGAAATGAATTTACCCTCCTAACATGAACTTGCAAACTGGAATTTTTTCATATGCCCAAAACCTTGAAACCAGGGATCCCCAAAAAAAACAACTTTACCATGAGCTCGGTGTTCCCCCCAAACCGGCTCCTGGCTCGCCATCCCCACGAGACCAGCCCGGCTCTCGCCTAGGATGTCGGTGCGGCCCGCCAAGCGCCGGCGCCGCTCCACCTAGAAAGCTATGGGAAGGACCTGACACCAACTGGAGGAACTGGACGATAGGTAGGGATGGGAATAAACCCAGACATTCCCTCAAATTTGGTGCGAAATCGGTAGGGAATGAGTTGGAATGAACCCAGATTCGCTCCAACCGAAAGGAAACCGCAAAAGTTGGATGGGTTTGTGCTTGGGGGGGTCATTCCAACTCATTCCCTACCGATTTCGCACCAGCAAGCTGGCTGTTGCTGCATAAATCAAGCTCACACCTGGGAGGCCTCACAAGCCAAAACACATCTGAGCTAGAAAGAGTCAGCAGCCCATAAAAAAAGCATAAGAATTAAGGCGCGTCTTCATTCATCGTAATAATCTTGAAGGAGACCGGGGAAGAAGCTGTGAGCCAGTCAACTTGTTCCCCACGACTTGGGAAAATTGGGGCTACGTACTCCGACCCTCTCGAATGAGCCGCTACTGGAAATGTTGACAAACCTCGGGTGGGTGGCTCGTCTTTTTTTGGAGGACTCCCCAAAAAAAATTGCCGTGTTCCCTTGGTTTTCCTTGAAAACCACCAAAGAACGACACTCATGTGAAACAGCCCCCGAACAAGGGGACCCAAAATAGCTAGCCCTCTTGCGCCAGTTATCCACCATTTCTTGGTGGTACCCAGTAGAAAAATGGCGCAACCCCCCCTTAAATATCAGTTGCAGTGCCAAATGCCACGACTGAGGCTTGATTCATCGTTTGCCATGCACTTGGGTCATGCGCCTCAGCCTCTGATCCTGGCGACTGGAGTCTCAACCCAAAAACAACACTACGAGTCCATTGGTTCCAGCTCGCATGGGCCCAAAAACGCTCGCTGGTGCGAAATCGGTAGGGAAGGATGCACCGTTTTAAACGGTCCCCTTCAAGGCGCCACAAAGGATGATCTTTTGGGAGTCATTCCAACGAGTTCATTCCCTGCTGAGCACCAGCAAGATAGCTGGAATCGACATGGGAGCAAACTATTGGCAACCAGTGCTCTGCAAAGACTAGAAAGGAAGGAACTCAAAAAAAGAGGGCCTGAGTGAACTGGTCATTCAGTCAATTCTCGCACGGGCTGTGCCTGGAGTCTAACCCAGAAGACATCAGGTGCCTCACGGTACATGGTGAAGATCATGACTTTGGGCGGTTGTATCAGAATCCTTTCCAAGTCTTTGTGAGTTGTTCAGGTCCTTCCACCCGTCCCACCGAAGGCCACGGCGAACTGGCGCCTCTGCGTCGTCGCAGTCGGACTCCTCGCTGTCTGCCTGCGAACAGTGTGCTGATTTCACTGGCCCAAAGACTCTCGGTGGCGAAATCTGCTCCCCTGCCAAGAGTTTAACTGTTGGTGGTTTAATGGAAAGCCCATTAGTTGGCAGAAGTTAAAGTCCTAACATCCAAGCATTTTGGACTGTCTTCGAGATTTTAAACCCCCCCTTTTTAGATGGTGCTTTCCCCAAGAAGCCTTGGCTTCTAAAACCGCCGGAAGCCCCAAAAGAGATGAAGCGCTGGAGAGCCCTTCAAGGCGCTTCCCCCTCCTCCCAGCCGCTCAGCCCCCCCCCCCCAGCCCCTCCCCCCAAAAACCACCCACCAACCACCCACCAACCACCCACCACCCACCCCCCAAAACCTCCCAGCCCCTCACCCCATGGACCTGCAGCGCCTTCGGCTTCCGCGAGCCAGCGCCGGCCGCGCCTCGCTCGCCTGGACAAAAACAGCCCACGCCTTTGGGGCCGCCTTCGGCTTGCCCCGAAAAACTCGGAGCCTCGCCCAGGTTTGAAGGGGAAAGGGCGGGGAAATGGAAATGTGAAGTGCAGGGGACAAGCAGAAATCACCGGATCTGGAAAGACTGAGGGTGGCCTCTTTGAGCTTTACTTTGGCTCCCAAAAAGGTCGGTGTCCTTTGGCTTCCCGGCGCCAACCATTTCTGGAACCCAAATGAGAGTGTGTTTGTGAGTTGGTTCTCTTTTTGGTGTCGTTTTAAGGGAAACCAAGAGGAAACCAACCATTCCGGCGGTTCCCTATTTTGAGACAAACCCAAACGTGACATCTTGCACATTTGAACCGGGGCCACAACAACAAAACACTGTCCTGGACAACCATGAACTGAAAAAAACATGAAACCATGTTCTTGGTTGCCAGGGTTCTTGGTGCCATGGTGTTCCTCGCAACAAGAACCTCCGTCAACCAACTGGAATCGAAGCAAGCAAAACTCGGGTGCGAGACGGTCACCTTTACGCTTGGTCGGGAAACAAGTACAACTTCTCTGGGCACATGTGTATGCACGTGAACAAGCCATTTTTCTTTGAGTTCAACTCAGGAACGTGCTTCCCTCTGCAGCCTTATCTTGGCACATCTCACATTCAGATTGCTTCAGGTTGTAGCAGCAGTGCTCGTGCCCTTTTGCTTTCCTGGAGTTTGTGGTCAACCTGAAAAGGTCACTTTCTTAGGGGGCGAAGGCCGGCCAAGAGGTCAGAGCTGTGGCAATGAGCAGATCTGGCCTCACGTTCCTTACCAAAGCTTGGTTCCTGTGAAGGGCTTTCCATTGGTCCAGAAGTAGAAACAGGACAGTGTTGTCACTTTAGAGGGGATTCTCTCGGCAGAGAAAATGGACTATCCGAAGCTTCACTGCTGGGAAACCAACGCAAACATGTGTGGGTACCTGTTGGTCTCCTTTCGAGGCCATACCAAAAGTCTCTTCTTCAGTTTGAAGCACTCATGTGAGCGGCACCCAAAACAAGTTGACTGTTGGTTCTAGATGGTTGTGGTGCTTTGCATGGGCCTTTTGCATGATCTCCCAAACAAATTCTGCGGCAGGAACCGAGCCTACTAAAATGGCCGCGCAAGCGAAGCCCCTGGCCTTTGGCGAGAGCAAAACGAAACCACATTTTGGGTATTCCTCTATTTTGAGACAAAGCCATATGTGTTGTTTCCAGGGTAACATTCTTGGAGTTGGTTTACACGGAAACTACCCATGTTGAGTCTGCATTTGACACATTAAATGAAAGCAAGGTTTGTCAAAATTGGTCGGCCGTTCAAGAAGACCACCATTTTTGAGAAACCCCCAAACAGAAACCCGAAACGGCTCAAGGCTCCATAACCATCCCATGGTCGGTTGAGCCGTTACATGCGAGACTTGCAGGAACCCTGAACAAAGCCAAACTAAAAACCCTGGCGTGTTTCCCAATGAAGGAACTCCACAAATGGGCGGTCTCCCTGACCTTTTCAACCACTTCGGGCCACCCGCACAAAACCGCCCCTTGTGCAGAAGACCCCCCCCCCCCTCAACCCCCTCAACCCCTCAACCCTCAACCCCCCGCTTCACACCCAAACAGCTTTGATCAAGGTCTCAGAGCTCCGGTTGCAGAGCCGTCTCACAAGGCGTTTGCAGATCCGAGGCCCCTAGTCCTGAGGCAAAACTGGGCCACCAGGGCCACCAGCAGTGGTTCATCCAAAGTCATTAGACTCGACGTCTTCCAAACCGCGCGCGAGGTGGAAAAATGCAAGCACTCTTAGTGCTGTGCCGCGCCTTTGTCGTGGAAGGCCATGGTTGTGCCAAAAGAAAAGGACGACGGACAAAAAAACGAAATTCCAATCCACCAATTGGGAGTAGCCGCACAAACGCCACCAAGGAGAATGACTAAAACCCTGGCAAAAGCCGTCGAGCGGGTCTGGGCAAGTGGCCGTCCAAGTAGACCTCGTCCTCGGAGTCGATCGTCTCAGAGATCACATCGTCCTCCGAGTCCTGTTGGAACCTAACCCCCCCAAAACTTGGTCAACGCTCAAGCCGAACCTAGGACTTAATTCTTCGTTCATCACTTCGGTCAAGGGCAAAGATGTCAAATGCTACCAAACGTACCTCTGAAGTGGAACCAAAAAAAGCTCTACCAGGAGGGTGATTTTCCCTGGGTCAACAGTAGCCCTGCGCTTGCCACGAAACGAAGCAGGAAGAGCCCAAGTGGCCATGTGTCAAAAGCCCGTACCCCCAGTGAACATCCCAATCCCCACTAAAATAGGTTCTGAAATGGGTGGTGCACTTACCCCAAAATGGGATCCCAAAAACGGTTTTGACAACCACAGCCAAGTAGGAAATGAGCTGAAGAGTATCCCAGCATCCAAGAACATCCGGATGTGACCCACCAACAACTGCTCCGGCGAAGTGACCCCTGCGGATGCTATCGGGAGCTGACCCCTATGGATTTCAAGCGAAATAGAAAAGCTTCTCGTGTTCCCCCTGGAAGTGATCTAGATCCTCTCTGAAATGGGGGGGTTCTCAAAATAGGGGACCCCCCCCTTTGGCTGGTTTTACGGCATTCGAAAGGCAAACCAACCATTTGTGGGGTCGCTTTTTTGTGAGACACTCAAATAAGTTGCGCCGCATGAAACTCGGTTTGATTCATCACTGGGCTGCTCCAAGCGGCCCAGTCAAGCCCTACCCCAACATGGGTCGTCTCTGTGACTAATTTGCCAATTCTAAGGGGATTGTCTTGGTACCGAAATCTCTGGCCCTATCCGATCTTCCACAGCTGAAAAGGGCTTCGGGACCCCCTCTTTTGACTGCTTGTTTTCAGGGAATTCAAAGGGAAACCCAACCGTGTTTGAGAAACACCGAATCGAAATCCAAAGCATGGGCTGCTCTGCGTGAGTCCATCGCCTCCATTGCAGACCGGTGCCGCTTGAAGCGCCGAAGCAATGGAGGGTGTGCGGATGGCTGAGAGAGATTTGTCTGTGATCTGTTGAGACACTGCTCCCGGGTTCCCTGTGTTTGCCCTTTAAAACATCACCACGAAGGAACCTCCCCTAAGGTTAAAACCACCAAAAAGGGAGAAATATATAGGGCCCCCTGTTGAAGGACATGCTTTACCCCGAGACTTGGAGCCGGATTTCTCCAAATTGTGGACCCCTGGTGGCTGCTCTCGTGGTTTACCTCCATACCAAAAGAGGTCTGAGAAACGCATCCGGATGTGTTCCTTTTGCTTTCGTGGCTGGGTGGTCGGTTGAAAAACCGGATCGGAGCGGCCCGTTTGCTGCGGAACATGAGGAAGGGACCACCTTGAATCAACAGGTCATAGACAGAACCGTTCCTCGCCAAGCAACTCACAAAAGCTATCAAACAAATGAAGGAAGCTGCAAGTTCGGATGATGCCACTTCGTCTACCCGCTGGTCATGAAGCTGCGGGTGGCTGCATCTCTCGGCGTGGGTCAACCCCTGAAAGCAAGGACTGCGCCCGGGTTGGTGACATCCTCAAAATCACCCGCTCAATGTGGGAACCCTTACAAAGCTTGGCTCAATTTCCCTGGGGTTCATGCCCGGATCGCATATCCATATCTGGGTGTCTCTCTCAGATTGGCGGCGTCCAAAGCGAGCCCTATTTTTAGAGACCGCCTGGTGGTTTACAGGAAAGCCACCACCCGGAGAAAAAATAGAAGAAGAAAAAAAACGGTTTTGGGAGGCCTCATGCTCACTTTGAGGGAGGCCAGATTCCAAAACCCCTGGACCAAGCTCAGCATGTTCACTTTCGGCGCCGGTTCACAAGAACTGCGTCTGGGTTTGCCTTAAAATTCGAGTTGGACCCAAAGGCGCTTCCATGTGGACTCTCGTTCTTGTAGCTCTTTGGCAGCCTTGAACACCCAGACCCCAAGCACCAAAAGGAAAGGAGACAGCCACGCTCAAAATTGCAGATGGGATCTGCTTTTGGGTTTCGTTCCCCTGGTTTCGTGGTTGAAATTGACTGAGTCCCAAAAATGGAACATCAAAAAAAGGGTTCCCACAAAACGAGCCAGCCACGCTGCAGCAGGAAAAAGTGGAGCTTCTCGCGGTTTTTCGAGGGGCGCATGGGGCAAAAGTTGCCTTTGGGTGTTCCTTTTGGGGGGTTCCAGTTTGTTGGGGGTATTGTTGTTTTGGGAGTTTAGCCCAGCTTCCCTTCAGTTTGGTTTTAGAGGGAATACCCAAAAACAGGAAAAAGAATTGGCGGCGCTGGGGCAAATGAGCGGGCGAGTCCTTTCCCATGTTCAACCATGATTGCTTGCAAAAGTCCACTGTTTCGCCGGGGGTTCAGCTGGTTTTCTGGAAGAATTCGGATTGAACTCCGCGTGCCAACTTGGCTCAAGTTGAAACCCGGTGGTCCGTAGGTCCCTTAAAGAGAAAATGGTATTGGCGCCCAATTTTGAGAGTGAGCTTCCTTTTGGGTTCACTTTACTTTGAAACCACTCCAAAAGGTGGTATCTCAAAAAAGGACACCCATTTCGGGGATCTAACCAATGCATCAAAACCCCGTAGACCACGTTGTCGGCTCAAATCAAGCGACGACTCGACATTCTGGGCCCTTCGACGCCAACTTCCGGGCGGTGTTGGCGTTGGCGTTCATCGCCGTGTCCATGTGGTCCGTGTAGTGGGACACCTGCGCAATCTCGTCGTGTGGGAACAAGAACAACTGGGTCCTATGGTTAGGTCAATCCGCCCAACAACAAGCCCCCCAAAAATCACACGAGCGTGTTTTTTGCAGCTAGCAGGAGTGATTTTGGGTGCTTTTCGGGGGGTACCCTCTCTTTTGGGGGTTGGGACAGCTGTCGACTAAAGGCTTGCGCCTGGCAACCAATTTCGGGGTCTGGGGAATGAACCTCTTGGATGTTCGGCCAGAAGTGCCGGTTTGCATGGTTTTGATGAGAACCAAAGGAACCAACCTGCAAGGGTGCCTAATCTTGAGAAACTATTTGTTCTTTTGGGGGGTGGGTATGAGTTTTGACAGGGGTTAGATTAACTTTGCCATTTCAAGAAGACCGCTCCGGCTCAAACTCTTTCTCTCTCTCTTCCTGTTCCCTCACTCTCTCTCTCTCTCTCTCTCTCAAATCCCTGGGAAATACGAATCTTCGCTTTGCTGATCGCCTTGACTCTTTGAAGCACCACTCAGGTGCTACTGAGGCCTTATTCGCAAAACGGTGCCTCCTTTATTGCCGCATAAGGGTTAGTGCCAAAATGGGAGGATTGCCCAGTTCCACTGGGCAGCTCCCCTCAGCAGCTGATGGGAGTAGGATTGATGCCACTCCCACAGCGAGGGAGAAATCCTCCCACCTCACCGGATGCCCTCCCGGCATCATGGGTGAGGAAGGAAAGTAGCGAAGATCAGTGTGATCAATTCGCTCTCGACTGAGGGGAAGACCCGGTTCTCAGTCGGGAATTGCGGGTCCGGATGAGTAAGCTCATCCGCCCACGTGTTGAAGTCGCGTTTCACATGCGACGGCCCCAGCATGACCTGCTGGTCATGCAGCGTGAGCACAATTTCCATGAGGATGGCCGCATTGGGCATCCTACGGGTGGAATCGTTAAGAAGGGAGAAAACATTTCCCTGGTTATCACTAGCCACCAGGATCCTAGTGTGAGAAGCCGAGCCGGCTGCACAAAGCAGAACGGCCCTCACCAAAAGGAGGAGGCCGAAGAGCTCCAAGGCCGCTATCGCCCGCTGCGGGTCCCCAGTAGTGAAGGCCCACGGCTCGCCCTCCGGTGTGATTCTGTGCTGGAACCACTTAACACGGGACTTGTCGGGGTTGGGCACGTCCGAGCACCAACCACCACCCATGCATGGTCCGCCTGTCTGCCAGCTCCCGCATCAGATGCCCCCGTCCATGGGAGTGTGGGAGCAAATGGGGATGCCAGTGGGAACCTCTGGTTGAAGAGTCTCCCCAAAAGTATGGCCAGAGCACGAACCAGCTTCGGTGGCCTGCCCGAAGTGGTGCAGGCCTTCTTCCAGCTCCAAAAAGGCTGGAGGAAAGGTTTCGTCAATGGGCACGCCGAAGTAGCCCATTGAATACGGCCTAGGGCTTGTTCCACCTCCTTGCTGGTGAAGATGTCCCCCTGGGCCAGCCGTTTAAGAGTGGCCAGGATTATGACGTGTTTGACTGGAGCCAGCAGTACACAGGGCGTGATTGGGTCCACCACAAAACCCAACCAGGTATTGATCGGGGAGAGCGCCGTCTTCTTCCAGGAAAGCGGGACTCCCAGCGCCAGCAGTGTAGCCAATATGGCTGTGGCGTCCCAGTCCGCCCGGCTGCATCTGAGGACCCAGCAGTAGTCGTCCACAAAGACTAAGTGCCAGTCCACATGGGGGAAGATGTAGTACAAGAGCCTGAGCACCAGGGATGCCTTTCTTCCCCAGTACAGCTGTGCCGAGGCCATGCCGTACGTGCCCACTCTGTTGACCCACCACCGGTTTTGGATGCAGGCCACCTGGTATTTCCAGTCTTTAGGGAGCACTTTAATACGCCTGTGGGCCTTGGTGACATCTGCCTTGAGGATGATGAAGGTTTCCCCCTGTGTCGGCAGCTGCCATCTCAGGGGTTCCCCCCCGCTCCCCCCAGGGCATTCCGTGCCCGGGGGGGTTGGGGGGAAGGGGGCCCTCCTATCAGGGCCCTCGGCACCTGGGAGTGGTCCCTTTCCTGAGGGTGTCGATCCCAGAGAGACGTCCATGCCGCCGGAGGTATCCATAATCCCCCTGCCCCGATCAGGCCCCTCGGCCCTGGGGGGCAGGCTGGTGCTGCGGGGGTCCCTCTCAGGGCCCTCGGCACCTGGGGACTGCCCCTGCACCGGCTGGTGAACATCCCGAGGTCTCTCCTCAGTGTTCGGGAGCGTGGCCCCAAGTAGATGGGGATGGTCCGCCGCTGTCCTGAGCCAGTGGATGGCGTGGAGGCAGTCTCCGACCATCGGTGCAGTGGTCTTCTCCCCTGTGTGAGCCTGGATGTGTGCGTTTGCTCCCCCTTTGGAGCCATCGTAAATCGTCCTGATCTTGTCCGACTCATCAATCCCTGCAAGGGGGCCCGGGCAAAGTTCCTCCGGTTTGCAGCGGCACCTCTCCGCCGCCTCGGAGCGAGTGAAGGGCCCGTCCACCATGTCCAAGGCTCGTTCCTCGTAAAAGGTTGACTCGATTTCCTCGGCAAAGAGTTCCGCCGTTGGGTAGTTATCATGAGCCACTGGCGGGGGGGGGTCTTCCCCCAGCCATGCCTCTCCCTTAAGCTCCTCCTTAGTGGGCCAAACTCCCGGGGAGGTCAAGGTAGGGTCCGAGACTCCCAAGGGGACCCCCTCTTTCAGTGTCAGGGGGAACTCCCAATCAGGGTCACCTGAAAGGGATGCCAAGTGCGACACTAAGTCCAGGAGGAAGGGTTGTCCTGGGCATCGTTCATGGAGGTGCCTCGGTCCTAGGATAGCCCGCAGCTCCTCGAGGTCGGCTTCCTGGAAGGGGTGTGTGGTGGCACCTGATGCCAGGGACATCCGGACCTTATCAATCCAGGGCCTGGTAAGGGTCATGATCAGGGCGCCCAAAGTAGCCAAAGGGGAAACTCTCCGAAAAGGGGGGTTGAGCCTCCCCGGGGAAGGTTTCCCCCCCCCATCTCTCAGGGGGCGTGAACGGAAACCCAATTGGACAATCGCAACTCGGTCAGTGAGGCGTGGGACCCGGAAAGCGGGCAGACATTCGGGGCGGTCCAGGACCTGGTCCCCATGTTCTTCCTTTTCCAGTTGTTCCGCATCTCCGGCCATCGGGGGCATGGGAGATGGGAAGTCTGGGTTCATAGTTCCACGAGGGCTTACGGTGTCAGCCTCATGGTGGATGTGCCCGTGCTGGCGGGGCTTCGGGGCATTCTTGCCTCCGGGCTCTGGGCCCTGGTGTGACGAGGAGGGACCGCCTCCCTGATTGGGTCCCCGTTTTCCCCGGGGAGAAGGGCCCCCAGGGGGGTCCGACCCCCTTCCCTTAGGTGGTTCCTTAGGGTTTCCCGGGAATTGTGAGGGGATCCGGATGTGCCCCGGCGCTGCGAGTGACACAGCGATGGCTTTGGCCAGGCCTGCCATCATATCCCAGGGGTATCTGCTGAGAGTCGAGGACTCGCTGGTGCCCACATGTGACTGATGTGTGCACCGCATTTGATCCCAGTCCTGGATTGGGAGATCCGTGGCAAGTGTGGTGGCCTTCTTGACCAGCTGGCCCAGGCGGCACTGGTCGAAGGAGATTGCTGTCAGGGAGTTTTCCTCCATCCAAAGCTGCCCCTCCTCCGTGATCCAGAAGGATGAGCATTCCTTGGCTTTGGGCAGCGAGCTGCTCACCACTGGGTCCTCCAGGTGCTCCAAGAAGGATTTTGGCCCTGGCAGCGAGACCGCCGATCTTGAGGCCCTTGCCAGGCTGGTGATGTACATCTGCCTCAAAATGAGGGTACTGTCCTCATCAAGCTGAGTCTGGGCGGCCTGGTCCAGGTGTGGGAGGCCCCAAAGTGTCTCTCGAGTGCGTCCTCGCACCGGGGTGGGGGCCCCCGGTTTTGGTATGTGGCGCAGGATGGACCATGTCCTGCAGTTGGGTCCTCCCCCAATGAAGACCACTCGGCCCTGCTTTGCTGCCGTGCAGAGCGCTCCATATAGCTCGGGTTGGAGCATGTCGTGGTTCCCTTTTGGTCCTGATCGTAGGATGTCTACTGCCACCACCATGCTGGAGAGGTGCGGGTAGTTGGCATGAAGACAGCTGTCTAAGGAAGTTGGGTCTTCCTTGCCTGCATAGAGCAGGACAATGATGGGCCCACTGGATGGAACTTTGGGCGATGTGCCCTGCGTCCATCTCAGCCGCTGTGCCAGGCGCTCCGGGATGTTCTCCATCCACGGGAAGGTGTCCCCTCCCGGTGACAGCTCCGTGGGACTTGTCAGGGGGGTAGCTGAAAGGCGTTGGCCCCCTTCATTCAGCCCAACAGAACTCTTATGAAAAACCACCGGGTCCTGCTTGATGATGTTGGGCGCCGGAAGTGGGATCGGCTGCCTCCTGGGCGTGTTCCTCGGCGTTGCGGTGTGCTGCCAGTTGTCCGGCACTCGGGCCTGCTGGGCGCGGCCCCCCGTGTCAGGGCCCTTGGCACCTGCGGGGAACCGTCCCGCCCCTGCCATCTCAGGGCCCTCGGCACCTGTGGCACGGGGCTGCGGCGTTGCCGTTGTGTCAGCTGTGTGGTTGTTCTGACCCCAGCTAGGGTGTTGTGCACGCTGGTTCTGTCGTCCCCATCCTTGTTCCGCCGAGGAGGGCCGCCACCTGGCCTGTCCCCCCCCTGTGTCAGGGCCCTCAGCACCTGCAGGAGGGGGCTCATGTGCCTGCTTGGGGCGTTTTCGCCCCCTCTCGCCCCCCCGGGCCGCACCTGAGGCCTCCCGGGGGGTCGGGGTCCGAGCCCCTAGTCAACCCGGGCAGTCCTGCGGGAGGTGGTCTCCCAGGCAGATGCGGCCCGTCGCCAGGATGAGGTTGCACTTGTGCGTGCGTCCGCAGTTGCCCGGGCAGCGCCCGCGCATCCAGTTGTTACAGAACTGGTTCCCTTTCGGATCGGTGGCCGCCTGCTTGTTACTGCCCCTGGAGGCCTGATTGTTCGGCTGGGGGGGCTTACCTTTCCCTTT